ATTTTAGTAAAGAGTCAAAAGAAGAATATTTTATTACCTTCTAAAACTCGAAGTCCGAAAAATCCATCTAAATTAAGACTTTTATAATTTTCTTTATAATATGATACCAGTTTATCTAAAGCTGATAATACCGCTAGTAAGTCATCTTTATCAGATAAACATATTTGTGGGACTTGATATATTACTAAAGCTGCAAATATCAAAACACGGGCCGCCATTGTAGCTGGCCTTCAACTTTAACCTTCGACAATTACAAAAACCAAATCAAAATATTACCGGAAAAGCCATTTATTTCATGTAATTAAAGCGTTTAATTTTAATGAATATTACTTAAATATACCATCTGTTTTTAAGCCTGTTTATCCCAAAAAAACACACTAAACTTGCTAGTAAAATTCTGTGACATACAGACCGAACGAAATCGAAATATTTTAAAGTATTGTCTGTCTCAGTGAGGAAAATTATACTAGTAATTAATTAGTAACTAGATTCTAGAAATATGAATCATATTTATAATGATACATTTTAAAAAAGTAAAGAGGCCTAATTATAAGTTATATCACTTAAATTATTAGATATACATTAGTCATTGTTCGATTTGAATTTAAGTGGCGTAGCTAGGGTTGGTGACACCAGGTGCAGTAAACCACGACCTACGAGAACTCTAGTGGGTCATTATTATGGCTCAAGGTGTCACCCACCTCTCCAACCCTCTTTTCCTGACAGATTTCCTCTTGTTAATTAGTCCACTGTACAAAAATAACAAAAACAAATTTATTGAAGGTGAGGGGGTAAATGTATTTAAAAACTGTAACAACGTAAAATTAAAGTTATTTTTACATTAAAATTGTGCTGTTTTTTTTTAAATTAAATGTAAATACATTTAAATTAATGATTAAAAGATATCAGAATTTATTTCGTTAAAGGTTATTTTGTTAACCTTCTAAAAGGGTAAAAAGTCAAATGTTTTCAATTTTTATCGATTCGATTCATTTACTTAGAATCACCCCACCACATTGCATTTGGTGTCAATGAAAAGCTTTATTTCTCAGATTTTTTTCTGACCTAATTATAGTTAGGGTCACCTCATTTTTGACGCATCAACCTTTAACTTTTAATTAAGCACGCACTTGGATAGGTTAAATGTGTGGAATATTTACGTTTGATTGGCTATTCTTTAATGAAATTCGGTTAGACCGAGCGTGTGCTCTGTAAATGTGCAATTTTTCAATTTGGTGTCACCGGGTGCGGGTCGCACTCCGCAACCCCCCCCTCCAGCTACGCCACTGCATTTTTTTTTTTTTTTTTTTTTTTTTTTTTTTTTTTTTTTTTTTGTTGATAGGGGTAAGGGGGGGGGGAGGATGTCTGTTAGTTTCATAATATTGGAAATCATTGGAAACCTTAGGCGAAAAGAGACTCAAACTCTGAAATATTGCACTGAAATTTATGTTAGACATTATTGACAGCAACTAAATGAATGCAAACAGTTAATAATATATGTTTTCTGAGGAACTATTAATGATAGCAGGCTGTCATCGACTTGTTGATAAAAAAAAACCAAAAAAAAAATTAAAAAAATATAAAAAAATTTAAAGGAAAGCTTTTATTCAATTATGCGACATATAATTTGTTATTTAATAAAAGGCCGAATCCCCATTGATGGCACGTGCCTTTTAATACCTCGCGCCTCGTACTGTCACACCATCCTTACGCATACGATGACAACGTTGATTTAAAATGAAATCGCCCAGAGCCTAAGAGCAGTGAAAGAAAATTGAAAACACTGAAAGTAGAAGAAATGCCTAGTCCTAAAGTAATGCTAATTAAGTATAAGAACTCGATTCTGGGTGGGTGGGTGGATATGGATAGGACAGGACAGGGAGAGAGAGAGAGAGAGATGGAGGGAAGTAGGGATGGAGGGATGGATGGGTGGATGGATGGATGGATGGTTATATAGATAGATAGATAGATAGATTATACATATAGATATTAAATTTATATAGATAGATATTGTTACTGATATTTTACTTTCAGGCACCACAACTCAGTCACGTCTGATGTCTCCTAGTTAAGGAAATGTTAACTTTTCAATAATTTTTTAAATTTAATTTTTTGGGGGCAGAATATGAGAATGAAAATTAAAGATGAAATTATTTAATTTTCATGCGATGGACAGCTACAGCCTTGTGAGTGGAATAAATGAGTGAGAATTTTTTTTGAGTGGAGAAAACGACAGAGGGAGATAACTCAATTCAACTTAAGTGAAGCTTTAAAAAAATATTGAGTAGCTTACCTTTACATTAGAAACACAGGCAAAATAGGATAGCATCTCCAAAAAAAATTTATTTTTTTTGTGTTAAATATGTCTTGTAAAAAATATCCACGTTTCGCCGCCCTCGACGCATGCTTAGTTGTTTTCACTTATGACGTCAATCAAGATTATAACGGCGGGGCAAATCTAATCACTAACTTTTAACCAGACCTGTTTACTCTTACGATTTTGGCGTCCAATGTACGATTTTGAGGTGTATACATTATTATATACTGTGTGTTTAATGTTTACTTTTGAGATAATGTATTGAACGATTTTGTGACGACATTGTACGATTTTTAAGAGTTTGAGGGTAAACTGGTCTGAAACTTTTAACTTTAACTAGAAAAACAACCAACCAAACAGCCAAACCCACCCACGTGAGAGTGACGGACGGCAGCGACGGTTGAACTTCCCATCTACCCAAGTTACATTGAGAAAACATAATACGGTCCAGCAACCGCACTGTCCCAAAGAATCCCAAATCAGTGCTAACTTCTGTGAGTTTTATTGTGCACGCCCATTGAACACATCGTTGCAGCCACACAGACACTTCAATAGAAGTTTTATTTGAGATCATTCTTTTAACTTATCTTTGATTTCTCCAAAATTGTACTATATATCTTATATTTCGTGTATTTGCCTGATATCCCCCCCCCCCGCGTGTCGTCTTAAAATGATATTCTCTATATCTGATCATATGAACCAACCAAACTAACTGTTATAGAAAGAATTCGTCCTGATCGAGCTGATCTGAGGTATATGTGATGAAGAGGGTGGGATGTATCACCCAATTTTATTTTGGTTTTACAACAGCATATTTCTTCAAATAGTTCTTTAAGTGAAGGACAACATGGAGCTGTGAAACCATGTCTATCTTGACAGGGGAACCATGACTGTCTTGACAGGGGAACCATGACCATCTTGACAGGTGAACCATGATATCCTGACAGGGGAACCATGACCATCCTGACAGGGGAACTATGACCATCCTGACAGGGGACCCATTACTGTCTTGACAGGGGAATCATGTCTATCTTGACAGACAGACAGACAGACAAGCCCAATAAAGTAAGATTTCCACTCCTTTTATGGAATGTCAAAACACTTCTCAGTTTGTCAACTTTTAACGGTAGCCAGCTTTTATTTATATTTTTAATTGCTGAAAATTTCGAATTGTGGAAAAAAATCATTCCCACATTACGTTATGTTCAAAGAAAGGATGTCGAGATTATTGTACTCTGCTGACACATTGCATTCTTTCGCGCTTTTAAAAAAGCAATATCGTTAAATTGATACACATTCTCAAACCGATTGTCAAAGGAGCTCCTAGCGAACACACGGGTCATGTATAGTAATAAATGCCTGAGCTAAAAATAAAGACTTAAGAACCATTCCTCTTTTACCCCCCCCCCCTTTTTTTTTGCTCTTCTCTTCTGGTCGTCCAAACGAGACAGCCAAGGGGTGTGTGTGTGTGGGGATCAAAGGAGCTCCTAGCGAACACACGGGTCATGTATAGTAATAAATGCCTGAGCTAAAAATAAAGACTTAAGAACCATTCCTCTTTTACCCCCCCCCCTTTTTTTTTGCTCTTCTCTTCTGGTAGTCCAAACGAGAGAGCCAAGGGGTGTGTGTGTGTGGGGGGGGGGAGGTGGGAGGGCTTCACTTGGCAACCGCACTATTAAACACACACTTATCAAGAGATCAAAGAAATATGATGCATTGAGCTCCTCGTGCTATTTGTATACAGTCCATCACTGGATCGGATCCCCCGTTTATAACAAATATTTGTAGAACAAGTCTAAATACCTCGAACAACTGTTAGCCCCGATCGATATCCGGAAATGGCACTTGGGTGGAGACTTCAAAGCGAGGCCACTGCTTGAAAAAAGAAAAAAGAAAAACGAACTTCATTTATACAATTTGTATGCGAAGATTACGATTTTTTTTCCTCCCTCGTGTCTAGAGATACAAGGGTGTGTTTATAGTAGATGGCAGGGGCGTAGCTAGGGTTAGTGCCACCAGGGGCGGCACGAGGCTTTACTTCTTCCATCTATGAAAAAATTCTACAGTTGGCTTATGATGTCGTCCACCATAAAAAAGAAAAAAAGTGCTCCCCCCCCCGGGCGGACAGCCTCATCTTAAACCCGTCTTACGCCCCTGGATGGTTGTATGAATTCTTACCAATAGAAAACAAAAATAAGTACTTTTTTTTTTTAAAACGTAAATTATAAAATATTGTCACCAGGGGTTAAAATATGTGTAGCTCCCTATTGCATAGTGTCACATTCGTCACAAAAAGTAAAGAAATTAATGTACAGAATTTTTTTTTCTTCAAACATGAAGCAGCGAAATCTGTTGTACAGGAGCATAATGAAACACGGAAGAACTCGGAAAATTAGAAGGACAATTTTCGAAGGGGACCTGGTTAAGTGTGAGGCTGTAGACTAAACGGCAGATATATAAAGGTATCATTTATAATATATTTGCTCAACGCACAACACAGTATGCAAGGACCTAAGACTAAATGTAAGATGCGTGATGAACTTTCTCCAAATACTGGCACTGGTAAGGATAATTCGAATAAACAATTTAAAAAAATTAAGCAAAGGAAGTGTTTTAAACTAAAATGACGTCAATATTGTGAGTGCTGAACTCTGGAACCCAACCGCTTAACGCGAACGAACACAGATTTGCGCAGTATGTCATCAATGAATGTTTGACAACTCTTGAGGACACGTTCAAAATGGCGTGTACCTAGTGCACAATGGCGTGGCGACAGTCTGCAGATCTGTGGTAGGCACGTTTTAAAAAAACAACAACAGCCATGGCTTCTGTGCAAGGTGCAGAAATATTCAACGGGTTGCCCTATGCTGGTAAACCCAAAGACGGTGCGTTCATTTTTTGTTGTTGACTTCCGAAAATCAGTTCTGGCCTTGATTATAATTATAGAGTCTTATATTATATTAATATTATATTAATATTACTATTATTATTAGTCATTAGTAATAGTTACAAAACATTTTTTAATGAACTGACAATGCCAGTATTTTAATAACACTCCTCATAAATAGAAATTTAATCAAATTTCTTTTGTCACTCGCGTCCTCAAGAGTAATGGCAGGAGCTTGCCATGGCCATATCATAAGCTTCTTATTCATCAATAACAATAATGAAAGAAATATGCCTGCCTGGCATCTTTACCGGTTAAAAATAACTATAGTTATACATTTTACAGTGACAGATTTTGTGGGGGTTTTTTTAATGCGTGATTGCAACCCTGGCCACAAGGTAAATTCAGTTGTATAGAAGAGGTTTAACATCAGCTTAAACTAAAACAATGACGTAGTTTTGCCATTAATCATTTAGCTAGGGACCGTCCTTTTGTTTCTTTTTTAAATTATTTTTTTTTAAAGCGCAACCGTCTTACTCTTTCTTTTTGTTCTTTTCTTTCTATGGTTACTTTAGGTCTGCTGGTAATCTTGAAAACTTTGTTGTGATCAAAAAAAAATAAATAATAATAATAATAAATAAATAAAACTCGTTAGTAATCTCCTAAATAATTTTAAAGTTAATTTGAAACAAAAAAAAATTGTTTCATGTTTACACATGTTTAGAGCTGAATAACAAGCCAATCATGGTCTGGTGTTTTTTTTTTTTTTTTTTTTTTTTTTTTAGCCTTTTGGTTTACACATTAGCCTAATGTGTAAGCTGCTAACAACGTGTTTAAAGCAGAAAAGCACATAATGCAAATTATTACTGGCAAAAAGACAACAACAAAAAAAAAAAAAGAAAGGCACCACTTTTACATACAGTTAAAACTAAAATGGATTATTTAACGTCTATTATATTATGAGAACTGTTTCTCTGCTGGCCTCAACAGGTTCCCCAAAAGTAGGCATCAACGGTTTTGGGCGGATCGGCCGACTGACCCTGAGGGCCTCCTTGGAGCTCGGAGCCGTGGTCGTGGCCATCAACGACCCGTTCATAGAGCCCAATTACATGGCCTACATGTTCAAATATGACTCGACGCACGGCCGGTTTAAAGGCACAGTGAGCAGGTAACACGCATGCCGGCTGGAAGGGGCGCCGGTTGTGGTCACCCGTTAGAGCAGGCTTATCGCTACTACGCTCTTTTTGTAACTCATGTCAAATCGGAGAAACTTTAGCATGCAGGATGTAGTGTTTCGTATGCGTTTTTGTCAAGTTTGAAAATTACTATATAATTGGTGGATTATATTGTATTGTAGCCAGGGTGGGATTATTTCTACAAAGAGTGAAAAGTTGTGCAGACGTGACGTCAAAAGTCCGAATCATTGGCCACAGGGATCCTGTGCACCTTAACACCTTTGACCCCTGAGTTAACTTTACTTCGTGTCATCCTCGATGATAAGCCAATATCGGTGACCATCCCACACGGTGACAGCCCCACCCAGTGAAGCCCCACTCGGTGACCAACCCCACATGGTGACAACCCCACTCGGTGACCAACCCCACTTGGTGACCAACCCCACATGGTGACAACCCCACTCGGTGACCAACTCCACTCGGTGACCAATCCCACATGGTGACAACCCTACTCGGTGACCAACCCCACTTGGTGACCAACCCCACATGGTGACAACCCCACTCGGTGACCAACTCCACTCGGTGACCAACCCCACTCGGTGACCAACCCCACTCAGTGACAACCCCACTTGGTGACACACCCCACTTGGTTACAAATCCACTTGGTGAACAACCCCACTTGGCGACCAACCCCACTTGGTGACCAACCCCACTCGGTGACCAACCCCACTCAGTGACCAACCCAACTCGGTGACAACCCCACTCAGTGACATCCCCAATTCGTGACCACAACAATCGATGACAACGCCACTCGGTGACAACCCCACACGGTGACAACCCACTCTGTGACCAAACCCACTTGGTCACCAACCCCACTCGGTGACAACCACCTTGGTGATAACCCAACTTGGCGACAACCCCAATCGATGACCACACAACTCGGTAACAACCCCACTCGGTGACAACCCCACACGGTGACAACCCACTCTGTGACCAAACCCACTTGGTGACCAACCCCAATCGGTGACAACCCCACTCGTTGATAACCCCACTCGGTGACAACCCAAATCGATGAAAACGCCACTCGGTGACAACCCCACTTGATAACAACCCCACTCGGTGACAACCCGACTTGGTGACAACCCCACTCGGTGATAACCCAACACTGTGACAACCCACTCTGTGACCAACCCCACTAGGGGACACCCCACTCAGTGACAACCCCACACGGTGACAACCCACTCTGTGACTAACCCCACTCGGTGACACCCCACTCAGTGACAACCCCACTTGGTGACTACAACAATCGATGACAACGCGACTCGGTGACACCCCCACTTGGTAACAACCCCAATCGGTGACCACACCACTCGGTGACAACCCCACTCGGTGACAACCCCACCCTGTGAAACCCACTCTGTGACCAAACCCACTTGGTGACCAACCCCACTCGGTGACAACCCACTCGGTGATAACCCAACTTGGTGACAACCACAATCGGTGACCACACCACTCGGTGATAACCCCACTCGGTGACAACCCACTCTGTGACCAAACCCACTTGGTGACCAACCCCACTTGGTGACCAGCCCCACTCGGTGACAACCCCACTCGGTGACAACCCCACTTGGTGACAACACCACTCAGTGACGACGGCACACCCCTAACTGTTAGATGATGCCCCAGTCCTCCAGTCATGTTAGAACACTGACAAACCCATTAAGTTACAGCCCGATCGGCAACAACCCTCGTTTGGTGACAACCCCACCCGGTAAAAACAATTAATTGGTGACAGCCCCACTCTGCTACAACACATCTTGGTGACAATCCACTCGGCGACGGCCCCACACCAGTGAAAGGTCCACTCGGTGACAATACAACTCAAGTCGCTCTCACTTATGTCAGGCTCATGCCCACGTCACTCTAATCTCTATCTTATGTCAGACTGATATCCACATCACTCTCATCTATATCTTATGTCAGACTGATACCCACATCACTCTGATCTCTATCTTATGTCAGACTGATACCCACATCACTCTGATCTATATCTTATGTCAGACTGATACCCACATCACTCTGATCTCTATCTTATGTCAGACTGATACCCACATCACTCTGATCTATATCTTATGTCAGACTGATACCCACATCACTCTGATCTCTATCTTATGTCAGACTGATACCCACATCACTCTGATCTCTATTTTATGTCAGACTAATACCCACACCACTCTCATCTCTATCTTAGGTCAGACTGATGCCCACATCCCTCGCATCTCTATCTTATGTCAGACTGATAACCACACCACTCTCATCTTTATCTTATATAAGACTGATACCCACATTACTCTCATCTCTACCTTATGTTAGGCTGATACCCACATCACTTTTCTTCTTCTTCTTATATGTATTAAGGGCCCACTATCAATTTATTGATCATTTTGGCTCTTATGCATGTAGAGGGGATTTGCAATGTTTCTGTGCCTGGTGTTGAGGACATTTCACTCATTTCCAGTGCCACTCTCATCTCTACCTTATGTCAGACTGATACCCACATCCCTCTCATCTCTACCTTATGTCAGACTGATGCCCACATCCCTCTCATCTCTACCTTATGTCAGACTGATGCCCACATCCCTCTCATCTCTACCTTATGTCAGACTGATACCCTCATCCCTGTCATCTCTACCTTATGTCAGACTGATACCCACATCCCTCTCATCTCTACCTTATGTCAGACTGATACCCACATCCCTCTCATCTCTACCGTATGTCAGACTGATGCCCACATCCCTCTCATCTCTACCTTATGTCAGACTGATACCCACATCCCTCTCATCTCTACCTTATGTCAGACTGATGCCCACATCCCTCTCATCTCTACCTTATGTCAGACTCATACCCACATCACTCTCATCTCTACCTTATGTCAGACTGATACCCACATCCCTCTCATCTCTACCTTATGTCAGACTGATGCCCACATCCCTCTCATCTCTACCTTATGTCAGACTAATACCCACATCCCTCTCATCTCTACCTTATTTCAGACTGATGCCCACATCCCTCTCATCTCTACCTTATGTCCACAGCACAGAGAACGAGCTTGTAGTCAATGGAGTAGCGATCAGTGTGTTTAAAGAGAAATGCTCAGAGAATATCCCGTGGGGCGAATCGGGGGCGGAGTACATCGTGGAGTCCACGGGCATAATGACGACACTGGATAAGGCGAGTACGCACATCAAGGCAGGGGCGAAGAAGGTGATCATATCAGGCCCATCAGAGGAGGCGCCCCTGTTTGTGTGTGGGGTCAACCTAGACAAGTACCAGGCGTGCATGGAGGTATGAATAGATCTAGAAAACGGTATTTTATAATTTAACAAACTTGTAGCTATTAAAAAAAAAGATATGGTAGAGACATGACGTGAACAGCGTTATTCCATAACATCCCTTTAGATATATATAACACAATATCAACAGATTGTAAGCAGTGGTTCTTGCACAATCAACTGTCTGGCTCCACTCGTCAAAGTCATTCACAACCACTTTGGAATCGTGGAGGCCCTGGTGACCACCGTTCATTCAGCGGTGTCCAAGCAGCTGACCGTAGATGGACCAAACTCCAAGGATCGGCGTGCTGGACGCGGAGCACTGCAGAACATCATCCCAGCCACGTCGGGCGACGCCAGCGATATCTCCAAGGTGAGAATTACTTTATCTAACTGTCAGTCCGATACAACATCATCCCAGCCACGTCGGGCGACGCCAGCGATATCTCCAAGGTGAGAATTACTTTATCCAATTGTCAGTCCGATACAATATCATCCCAGCTTACGTGAAAGGGACGCTAGCGATATCTCCAAGTTGAGACTTACTTTATCTAACTGTCGGTCCGATACAACATCATCCCGAATTACATCAGAGGGACGCTAGCGACATCTCCAAGGTGGGAATTAGTTTAATTGGCCTCTTACCACCATATACCATATTTTACAACCTGGGCACTCCGTGTCACAGCATTTAATTGTTCGTATGCACGTTTCAGGTGATCCCAGAGCTGACAGGGAGAATGACGGGCATGTCTTTTCGTGTTCCTACACCTGATGTGTCCGTCATCGACATGACCTGCAAACTTGCCAAATCTACAGACTACAAGACAATAGTGGACACGGTCCGATCTGAGTCCAGGGACACTATGAAGGGGATTATCGGCTTCACGGATGAGATGCTGGTGAGTAAACTGTCTATTCTCTGACTGTCCCCTTGTTTGTATTTTATATTTTAAACTAGCGCCCTTGTGATTTTTCTAGAGCTGCGCAGGATTAGTCATATCAGACCTTTCTTAACGTTCGAAGCATCAAAGAGTGAGTATGTCTGCATTCGTGTTATCACGCATGGACTACTCTCATGGTGGGTCTCCCAGCTACTCTCCTGTATAAAATTCAAAGAGCACAGACTAATGCGGCTCGCAAACGCAAATTCGACCATGCTAAAACACTTCTGAGAGAGCTGCACTGGCTGCCGGTCCGCGCTCGCATAGAATACAAAATTGCAACTTTGTGCTACCGCTGCTTACATGACCTGGCGCCGTCCTATCTCAAAGCACTCATGACGCCTTATGTACCCAGTAGACAGCTCCGCTCATCCGATAGTTGCAAACTATCGATACCGTGTGTTCGCCTTGAGACTTACGGAAAGCGAACTTTTGCATTTGCTGGCCCAATAATTTGGAACACCCTTCCAGTCGCTCTCAGAAACAGCCAGACACTGGAGTCCTTTAAAACCGATTTAAAAACACATCTATTTCGCAAACGCCTCCTGGGGTGATGCTATCTACCATCTTTTTCTAATTAATGTATATTGGCCTGTGTTGCTTATGGTTGAAACGGGATGAAAGACTTTGACTTGGTAAGCTCGTATGAAGAAGTTTTATATTGTTGCGTCTGTTTTTAAATGTGGTACATTTTAGATTGTTTTTATGTCTCTTTTTAATATGCTTGACTTTGTACCGCACTTCGAGCTTTTGGGGATGAAGTGTGTTTTTCAAATACACTTTATTATTATTGTATTTAATGACAGAGAATAACGAAATAAGGGCAGAAAAATATCGTTGTTTTAGTGCAGAACGTGGAGTCGGAGTCATTAGCGAAAGAAGGAGGGGTAGAGGAGGATGCATTCTGTTCCAGGTGGCTCTTTTTTGATACATTCAGTGGTGGCATTTTAGGCCAACTGCTGAGATTTTTTCGAAGATCAAGATATTTGATCGGTTTAAGTCATCAAATTCTTATACACATTGTTTACACGTCGTACTAACACCGAATTAAAGACAAGGAGCCAAGCTCCGTTGTGTCTACCACAGGTCTCGACAGACTTTGTGGGCAATCCGTGCAGCAGCGTGTTTGACGCCCAGGCCGGCATCGCCCTGAACGAGACGTTCGTGAAGCTGATTGCCTGGTACGACAACGAGTACGCCTACAGCTGCCGGGTGGTGGCGCTCATCAACCACATCTACACCCTGGACAGCAAGGGCGGCAAGGGTCAGTGCAAGGCGAAAGCGGGTGGGGATGCGAAGAACGGCCTGGAGTTGAGGAAACCCGGGTCTAAATGTTGTGGGTGCTTTGGTTAGATGTGACCGAAGCGGTCAGGTTTTTTTGTTGTCTAAGACGGTCCAGTTAAAACACCCACCTCGAAGTAAAAGCATTCAAACAATCGATTTCATCTTAAAACTTAACACAAATGGACGAAACCCATTTTAACACCCCACCCCCTCCCCCCCCCCCGATGACTTTTGGTATGAAAGGTCTTATATCGAGCGTTTGACACCATCAGTAAACCTATTTTGGTCGATCCAAAAGCTTTTTTTGTTAGGCTTTGTCAATGGAACACGAATTAAAAAAAAAATTGCGGAGTGTCCCCGGGGCATACCGCTAGCACAGCACTTGATATTTCCTAATCCCTCTTGTATGGGGTAGTGTCCAAACTTCTCACATACTTATTAGTCCCCACAGCACACATTAGCATTTTGGTTTTGTCCTTAAGAGAATTTTAATGCAAACAGTCTAATGACTTAATTATATTATTTTTTTTTTAAATCCTATATTTCTTATACTATCTACATCACATGCAAATTGGAATGTTTATGACCAATAAAAAAATTCTTTGTAATAAAGCTATGGCTCAAAATGAAGCGATTTTATGAAGTTTATTTTATGTGTATCAAATAAGTACGAACCTGGCGTGTTTACGACATCTAAAACAATAAATAAATGATCTGATTAACAAGGAATCCACCTTAAACACAGAGAAATGACCTTAACGCCAAAGCCAAATGGGCAATTTGAAATTTGACAGTGAAATAGAAAGTTACAATAGTAATGGATTTAAGAGAAATAATAAAGTATAACATACATTTTTTTTTTATTTTAAATTTTACATTTTATTCTGGCAGCTGTAACTTAATTGGTAAGAATGCAGCCATTTCGCTAAGAGAAATGATACCAGGTTGGTGGCTTTCTTCCGGCTTCATTGGTTGTAGGTTGTTGTTGTTTTTTTAAATTAAAAATTATTATTATTTTAAAAAAAAATAACAAACAACGAAGGCTTCACCTCCTCCCCAAAATTAGCCAGTGCCGAGTCCATTTTAACCTAGCAACCTAGCAACCTAGCAACCTACCCATGGCACGTGGAAATCGTGGATACATTTTAATTCACTACGTCTAGGCCTAGGCTGAGCTTCACACGTTGTGCGCCATTTGCCAAAGCGATGAAAGTAATTTATTTCACAACAACTGATCGCCAAATAAAATTGTTGGGTACGCCCTTTCGATAACCAAGTAAATTAATAACAAATCAGGTTGCGTTCTAGTAACAAAATAATTTTAAAAAAAAACAACATTTTGGTTATGGTTTTGTATTAAATAATTATGTTCAGAGATTAAACAAATTGGGCGCCAATAATTTTTCAATGAGAACGTTATTTTCCATACAATTAAACAATTATTATGAAATAGTGAATACATTTAAGCAATGTTTTCTAAAGCTATTATTTTTGGATAAAAAAATTCCCCCTTTTTTTTTCGTTGTTGAGTGGAGCAATATATGTCTGAGAAAAAGAAGGACGCGACAGATGGCACGACGACAAGGAAGAGGCGTCAAGCTAACTCCTTCCGTCAACTCTAGGCGAGCAACAGTTTAATGGGATTCTTATTTGCTCAGCCAATCAGGGGGGCCAAACAATGTCGTGACGCCACAACAACGGGCTCAGGGAGGGAGCCCCCACCCCCCCCCCCTTTTCATCCCTACGTCAATTGTGTGCGACGATCATAATTCTTTTTTTCCCCCCGTCCCATAACGAGGTTCATCAACGCCACAAAAACCATTTTTTTTGTCAGTATCATGAATCAAATCCTGCGATTGTAATTTGCTCCCACTAGGACGTCGTCTGGGCGTTATTGGCGCTTTTTTTTTTTTTTTTTTTTTTTTTTTTTTTTTTTGAAAAAAAAAAATGGGATTGTGGAGCTACGTCCCAATGCGTCCCACCCCCACCCTTTTTTTGTGTGCACAACCCAGCATACATAATGAAAAAAAGAGGAAGGGGGGGGGGCTCAGATTCGATCATGAAGTGCGCCTCTTTTTTTAGCTATTTGGATGGTGTCGGATTCGTAAAAGATGTAAGTGGCTCTTAACTTTGTAAAAAATAAATTAAAAAAATTGAGACATTCTAAATAATTTGAAAATATCTTCGACATTTTCAGACAAAAAGTACTTGTTTTGAATGAAATCCTGCTTCTCTTTATTATGTGCAAGAGTCGATGCTGGAGTCGCAACAATGTTTTAATGTTTTTTTTTTTCCGATTCCGCAGTCAGCTGATAAGAGCGGTCTTCTTGAGAGGTGGTGGTTGAAGTGGATGGGGCCTTTTCTTTCTTTTTTTTTTTCCTTCTCCCCTTTTTTTTATATCCCAACTCTCTTTGTGTCCTTGAGCTCAGTTTCACAATTGACGCAGAGCAAAAGATTGTTGTGTCGGGATGGGCTGAAAGGATTAGAAGACTCCGGCTTTGTTCTTTCGCTGCGGCGTTGGTGAGCAGTGAGGGGAGCACCGGGGGGGGGGCGGGTGGGGGGGATGCTGCTGGCTCGACTCCTGTTAACAAAATTTCATTTAGGACATGTCAAATGGGTTGGGTTAATAGTCTTTAGCAAGTTCTGTCCTCTGGTCTGTCGATGTTGCCAGATTGCTGGTAGAAGGCAAAGAGGAATCCTCCAACACAGGCCTGCACAACTGGAAATGTAAGACGGGCCGTAATACTTAATGAAAAACTTGTGCGGGCAAAAAAGAAAATAGGACAGGGGGAAAATAATAAGAAAATAATAAGAATAAATAATATTTCGTTACTTTGCGGGCCGCGAAGGGTGTGCCGGCGGGCCACATGTGGCCCAAGCCTGCTATAACACTCTGGCAATTGGAATCGCTTGGTCTAACAATGGGATCATCTATTTTTTTTTAAATCCCCTTTCTATATGAGAACCATTTTCCATATGTATATATGCGGAGGAAATTGGACTGAAGCTTAAAAATAATTTTATCCTTAATTAATTAAACAATATATAGCATCAAAACAAACACACACACAAGGTTTAAAAAAAAAAAATTCTCTTGAATCACGTTATTGTGGATTATTATCACCGTTTCTTTCAGGCAGCTCTTCGGGGGTGGGGGGTGGGGGTGCCCCACCCCGGAGAAAAATGTGTTAAAAAATAAAACGAAAAAAAAAAAAAATCTACTAAAAACGACCGAATTGTTATTGTTGTAAGATCGGAAAGGTGGGGGTGCCCCACCCCGGAGAAAAATGTGTTAAAAAATAAAACGAAAAAAAAAAAAAAAATCTACTAAAAACGACCGCATTGTTATTGTTGTAACATTTTTATAAGTAATCGAAACGTGCGCCTTTCACCGATTACAATTGGTGGAACCAATGAACTTCGGATACGCTCGATGATCCGTATACTTACAGGCTAATGTTGTTCTGAATGGTTGTATTGTTTTCAATACTGGCCGCTTCTGATTAGAAGCCAAACAGCTTATTTTTTTATTATTTTTTTTTTTTGTTATCCGCATTTATTAGTGTTTGCGTGTGTTTGAGCAACTTAACAAGTTTAAAGACTCGTGATGGAGACTTTTTTGGACGGAATAATTATTATTATTTTTATATCATCTATTTAATTAGATACTTCACCCCATACATAGTTTAAATAAAATAAAAACACATTACTTTCCAGTCATATTTTTTTAAACAATTGAATGACGCAACCTGGTCGAACACAGCCGTCACTTGATTTGTTATTTTATTTTTATTTATTTTAGTATTATTTTTTTATTTTTGGGTGTGGGGAAGGCCCCACTCCCCCTTGCAGCTGTAGGGCTGCAAAGACTATGTACACCGCCGCTAATCTGGCGCACGGTCTGATATGTCCCCCCCCCCCATATGTCCCTTTAGCTACGCCTCTGTCCACTGGCGCTTCCCACACGGAAATCTGAAATGCACCTCACCCCCCTCCCCCCTCCCCCGAGGATATGGTCTGAAAGAAACACTGATCATTATTCAATGCGTTTTAATTTAATCGAAGAGTAATATCATTCTGGCATGCGGCGTAGTGCGGGAGCTGTCAGAGAATCGCCCGCCCCCCCCCCTTCTCCTTTGGCGCACATTTCCTGGGGCGCAACATGTTAAAATAAAAAAGGGAAAGGGAAAAATAGTTATTAAAAAAAACAAAACAATTAAAACATAATACATGTTTGACTTGGTTTTGTAATGTGGTGAGGGAGAGGGCTGAACGCTTGTTACAGTTTCGGTGAAGAGTTGTGCTGTGGCCATATTTTTAACAGGAACGCTTCAGTCGTCCTATGATAGCTTTTTCTTCCATGAAAATGTTTTACGAGTATATACTTTATATAAAAATTAATTATATATATATATATATAAATATATATATATATAAATAAATATATATATATATATAAGAGGCTGGCGCACGAACGTATATATATATATACGTTCGAGCGCCAGCCTCTTGTGTTTGAATATTAACATTCGAAAAGTTCATCGGCTCCTCATTCTCCTTGTCCACAAAGCCTATTTTTGTACCTCCTGCATCTCTGAGCTATCCATGATGATCGAAAACTCTCCTCCACAAATCTCAGAAGCAAGCTTAAGCTGCGGTGCTTTACCCAACTTTGAATGAAAATGACATGCAGCGTATGATGAAACCGTCTTTAGAAGCGGACCATAGTTAGTTGGGTTGTTTTTTTGTGCGTGTTTTTGTTGCTGTTTTTATTTATTTTTAAAGCAACATTTTTTTTTTTCAAAACAGAATAGATGAGTTTTAAATTCTCTCCATTTTGGCAACCTGAACGAATGGGGATGCTACAATTCGCCGCCACCATTTCGCCGCCGCCATTTCACCGCCGCCATTTCACCACCGCCATACCGCCACTGGCCGTTTCAGTGCCCGGACATTTCCGCAACGGCCGTTTCGCCGCCGGGACTTTTCGCTGCCAACCTTTTCCTGGACAAAGAGTTATACGTTATTGGCATTCGATAAGTGGTAATCTAAACTTAGAGGTGATTGAAACAGTGTTGAATATACAAGAAGTTAACTATATTGAGTTTGAAATGCATTTATGTAAGATAGAAAGAAAAAAAAAAAANCGTCGGTGTAACGGCAAGAGGCGAAGTAGCCGTCGGTGTAACGGCAAGAGGCGAAGTAGCCGTCGGTGTAACGGCAAGAGGCGAAGTAGCCGTCGGTGTAACGGCAAGAGGCGAAGTAGCCGTCGGTGTAACGGCAAGAGGCGAAGTAGCCGTCGGTGTAACGGCAAGAGGCGAAGTAGCCGTCGGTGTAACGGCAAGAGGCGAAGTAGCCGTCGGTGTAACGGCAAGAGGCGAAGTAGCCGTCGGTGTAACGGCAAGAGGCGAAGTAGCCGTCGGTGTAACGGCAAGAGGCGAAGTAGCCGTCGGTGTAACGGCAAGAGGCGAAGTAGCCGTCGGTGTAACGGCAAGAGGCGAAGTAGCCGTCGGTGTAACGGCAAGAGGCGAAGTAGCCGTCGGTGTAACGGCAAGAGGCGAAGTAGCCGTCGGTGTAACGGCAAGAGGCGAAGTAGCCGTCGGTGTAACGGCAAGAGGCGAAGTAG